GAGAGAGAGAGAGAGAGAGAGAGAGAGAGAGAGAGAGAGAGAGAAATCGGTTCCTTTCTAACTAGAACACCCATAGAACGTGGTTCTCACGGTATCGATGAGCTGAAATGTTCTACCTTCATATCAGAGTTAAACAGATTATCCGTCTCGAGTACATGCATTATCCGATGACTTTACTTGATAATTTGAGTGATATCCTAAATATCTTCATTTTAGCAAGCATTTGGCGTAGACAATTAGACAGAGTTGTTCGCGTAATTCGTCAATCAATTTGAGCGATGAATTTAAGATGAATTCCCGCACACACTTACCGCAACATTTTTTTTTCAATGCTCTATATCCGAATATCTCGACGATTTCCCGCCAGCACAAATTGCTAAAATATGTCTCAAAATACGTCCTAATTATTTTTGTCATTTCTAAGACATCTGTTGGCAGATTATGATTTGCTATTTGGGATTGATATTCGAACTCGAAGGTAAATTATATACTAGATGCTTCTTTTGGAGCAATCTTTTGATTTTCATGGCGGTTGACTAAACGCGGGGGGACAATTTCGGCAGGAAGCGACATGGCATCCCCTCGAAGCCGGATCCGTCCGAAACGCGAGCACCCCTTTCGCGGGTGTACCTCAGGACTGCGTTGTGTCGCCGCCATTATCCAAGGACGGCGAGCTAGATAATAACAATTCTGGCACGGATGATTTGATGTACCTGAGGCACTTGGAGCTAGAGCCGGTAGATCCCCTGACGGGTTTGCCATTACACCCGGGCTTCACGGCGAGGGGCGGCAGAACGCCTTGTACTGTCACGAGAAGGCTGATAAGGCAAACCTCGGTCACCCAGGTACGTAGTTCTAACGCGACAGATCTAATAAGCTCGCGTCTGCAATCACCAAACGCCTTCGCGTACGATGTATACACGGAGAAAAGAATTCAGTTCATGTAATTGAATGAAGATCAGACGAAAAACTTGTTGACAAGGAATAATATCTCTGTTATTACAACCGAAAACATTCATCTGAATATTCAGCTGTATGAAAACTCGATTGAGATAACTGAGAGCAATTGGTCGAGTAGAAATCTCCTACGGAAATCTTTGCGTTCCTGCAATTGAGTCTTTCATCTGTGATCCCCGAGCAACAAAAAATTCACTTATACTGACGGAATTATATCTTTTCCGTGTGGAATACCATCCATCTACATCTATTACCGTGACATTCACAAGACAACGTCGTTAACTATACCTCGTACGCTTTGCTCTCTACCCGACAGATCCCATGGGGATTTTCGTTATCGTGGGGCAGACCACCTCGAGTGGAACGTGTGGACACGGGAAGCCCCGCGGAACGTTCCGGATTGCGGCCGGGCGATCATGTGGTGTTCGTCGAGACGACAAACGTCGTGACGAGGCCACGGGACGAGATTTTGGGTCTCATCCAGGCCGCCACGAACCAGCTGGTGCTGGAAGTGTATCGTAAGGGTGGCGTCCATTCCGGCAGCCACAACAGGCCCAGTTCGGTCAACGCCACTCTTCAGCAGTCCGCCGCCGGCCCGAACAGCCAACACGCGGTCACGTTCAGCGCCGAGGTCGGTAATGGCGTCCTCGTGTGAGAATCTTACTCGTGTTACGTGTATGACGGTACATACATTCGTCGGTGTCTCTTTGAAGTCCTAAAGTGCCATCGTCATTTACCGTATTACCGATAGTGCCGTATATGAGTTAGCGAAACAAGTTGGTCGACGAAGTTGTCGACGGACGTGAAACGCGTTCGAAACACTCTACATTGAGCGATATCAACTTCCCGCGACAGTTATGCGCGAACGATATTAATCACGATAGCATCGACAAATATCATTAATATGGTAAAGACTATTGCTATCGGGATAACGTTCAAATTTGCGCTCGCTGTTCAAGCGTAATCGCGCGGATGATAAAATGGGCGAGAAATTTGGTGGAAACGGAGGTATCTTGTTAACTTTTCCAACCCCTTGCGAAATCATTGTTACATTTGAGGTGAACGTTGTAAAATAAAATTGAAGGGTCTAATGTAAATGGTATTAAGATTCGTTTAAAGCTTTAAATTTATTTGGAAAATAAGTTATTTCACCTATATGTAAATTTTATATTGAGGGAAGATTGTGAGACCTCTGTCTCAACATTTTTGCGAAGACCTGTTTCTCAGTTGATGTTGAAACGGGGCTGGAAGGGTTAAAGAACTTTTCACCCAAATGGAATCGTTGATATCAATGGAAAAGAATCGTATACAGGGTGTTCGGAAAGTACCGGGACGCCCGAATATCAGGAAAAATATAAGTTTTACAAAAAAATGTTTCAGACAAAAGTTGTGGCGTTTAAAAAGATGTATTTACTGATCACATCAGTTTGACCTTGGGTTGCGTAGCGAAGGTCAGGTCAAGGTCACATTAATTTT